ACAGGTTTGTTTGTGCTTTTGTTAGTCTATGAACTATTCAGTAAATCTTCTCCAACACTTCAACTCAAAGGCATCAATTCTTTGGTCATCATTAGTCACTGTCCAACTTCCAGATACATAGCAAGTCATTGAAAAGATCATGGCATGCACACCCATATTTATTGAGGCTTTGTTCGCAAAGAGCTGGAAATAACCCAAGTGCCCATTAACAAACAAATGGATAGAAAAGCTGTGGTATATTCACACAATGGAAGATTATGCAGCATTGAAAAACAAGGAACTCATGAAATATTATGCAAAATGAATGACTCTGGAGGACATTATGCTGAGTGAAATATCTCAGTCACAAAGGGACAAATATTGCATAGGGCCACTGTTGTAAAACAGGATTGACATCAGGGTTGAGGGAAAACAGAAAAGGAGGGGAGGAATGATGTATATTGTATTGAAATGGATGAGGGAGAGAACTGTTTAAAAGGGATATATGAGTGGGTATTCTTGTCATTAGAGAAGTCCAGAATGAAGGCTGCACAGTAGAGTGGACTTGCAGGGAGGGATTGCATAACAGTGAAAGAGTTTTTCTTTTTGTTTTCAAGGAGAAGAATGAATTGGAGAGGAGGGGGTGGGTAGGGAGAAAAGTGACTTAAAAACCCTAAAAAAATTAATAATTGATTGAATAATGAACCACCCCAAAAAAACCCCAAAACAAAACAAAACAAAAAGACCATGGCTTGGATCAAGTGCATCTTAGTCTTTAAACTTACATCTCTGCTCTTCAGCACTTAGGAGAGTTCCCTGACAAGAGATTTTCCCAGTGGGAGAAGGGCCATTTCACTAAATCTGAGCAATGAGCTGTGAGTAGAAGTGACTGGGTCTTTTCCATGCTGTTGGGGGGATTCTCCAATTAAATAAAACATGTGCTGTTGAATTCCAACTCATGTCAATTGTAGCTGTTACCTACTAGAGTTGTGCTCCATGGGTTTTCATGGTTATGACCACTTGATTGCCAGGTCTTTTTTCTGTGGCACTTTTATTCTGAGAGGTTTCAAAGGCCCATCTTTTGGTTAGTGGCCTAATGTTTAACTGTTTGTGTCACTCAGGGATGCCAGGATCTCTCAGTTTCCCTACAGCAAAGTAAATGGCAACATCAGACATGGATCCCTGAATGACCGACGAGCAGAGGCTCTTTCCAAGTTGAAAAGGACATGCAGCAAGTGAGAACAAAATCTCTCGTTCAAAGGCCTCCAGCTTTAGAGATTGCTTATTACTGCAGCATAACGTAACTTGTCCTGACTGATCCAGGAATCCCATGAGACAGCTGTACAGCTATCAAAAAACCCTAGGAACATCCTTACAGCTTTGCAGATTTCAGATACCTCAAAGCCAAACAAAACTCAAAACTTCCCCTACAAACGTGAGATCACAGCTAGTTCTTCCCTGTTCCTTCCTCTCTACTAGGGCGCTCACTGCAGGAGTGGGAACAAGTCTTGAAACAACTCAAAGAGGGGGCAACCAGCATGCTCTGGGGCCACACTCAAAATTCACTGCCTCTTTCCTCCCCCTTGGGAAAAAAAAGCAGCACACCCACTCTGCTGGGAGTGAGTCACAGCAAAAAGTCCACAGCTCATGCCAAGAGGATCTGCCAACACTGAGGAAAAACTCCCAGTGGAGGTGTCTCAGCCGATGCTGAGGTCTAAGCTGTGTGGCTTGCATAGCCAAGGACCAGTTCTAAATATTGACCAGACATTAGCCTGACTACAGTGACACTGGGGCTTACTTAGCCCCTCTCCCCAGGCAAGGAGAAGCTTCATGCATGCCTGAGAGGGAGAGAGTGCCACTTAAAGGAAGAAGGAAAGGGGGTGTGGGCTGGGAGCGATGCTATCAGAGGAGCCAAATCCCAGATGAGAAGCCTCCCCTTCAAGTCACAGAGAAGCAACTACTACCCCCCACCTCAATTTCTTGGCTTCAGCAGATGAACTTGAGGATAAAATTGATAAACTTTTGGATTGGTTACATGAAGTTATGTTATCTTTATTTTCATCGCCGTTCCCATTCCATTCATGGCTGGGAACAGCCACCATCACGCCACATATCAGGGTACAGCAGGAAAACAATCAGCAGGGCTAAGAGACAGGGGAGAGTTTTATGCTCCATCCTTCCACATAGTCTTGACCTTCCCAGGGCAAGAGGAGACCCTTCGTTCCACGAGCCAGAAAGTCCAGGAGTCTCTCAGCTAGGTTGTAAACCATGTGTGGGGGTAGGGAGGTGGGGGGTGGGTGAGAGAGAGATTGTTGTCAACTATTTCACAAATGGCATTTCGAAACTGGTCCCTGATGTGCACTAGATTCCTGCTGTTTCTTGTCACTCCAAGCTGCCACCCAGAGGTGGGCCCACACCCTGGACTCACCCAGCCCTCCTGGGAGAGATGGAGCCTCAAGCCTGGGCAGATGGATGGATAACAGAGGGCAGCTGCTTCACACGCTTCCAGGCAAAGAGCCTGGAAGAGCTGCCTGCAGAAAAAGAGGCAGAAACGGGAGTCAGAGACCACAGAGGCGAATCGTACTTTTCCTTTGACATTTTCAGTAGAGAGGGTTCTTCCTCATTCAGAAATTGCTTTCTCAGTCGGGTCCCACTGAACCTCACTTGTCCTGTAGGGAGAAGAACAGAGAAGCTCATTTTCTTATCTCCACCTTACATCTATGGTCCTCCAGTGGGGTCCCTGGGCCTGCAACATCAGCACCACGTGGGAACTGATTAAAATGCAAATCCCAAACTCCAGGCCTAGGTTTAGTAACCCTGAAACTCTGGAGGAGGAGCCTAGTAATCGGTGATTTTACAAGGCCTCCAGGGGTTTGTGATGGGGCCAAAGATTGAAAACCACCAAGGTAGAGAGAGGAAGCTCCAGAGGAGAGAGGAGAGGAACAGTGGAGGGGAGAAAAGGCGGGTCTCTGGACTCACACTCATCCAAATCTCAGCTACCTTTGGCTTTGTAGCTCCATGGGGCTGGCTGCTACGGGTTCCCATGTACCCAGAAACCGCTTGATGAGGTGGGATTTCTGGGCCTCCTGTTCTCAGCTACACATGCAGAGGAAGAAGAGACCAAGAGGACCAAGAGGAGAGAAAAGCCACTAACCACAGCAAGCTGGGAAATCCCTGGGAATTCCGAAGAACTCTCAAATGCTTGGGAATGGCCTAAAAATTCTCTCCAAGCACGGGGGTGGGGGTGGGTGGTAGGTTGGGGAAGCAAAAGTGAAATATCCTTTACCAGACACTAGGGGGGGAACACCCATTTCTGGCCTGAGAAGAAGAGAGAGTCTCTTTGAAAGTCTAGAAGAATGTAGATAATTCCTAAAGTTGCAGGTCACCTCCACTAATTAATGTTTTAAGAGGAATTATGTTATGTGACCCTGAGTCAGTGTCAAGACTGGAGAGGAGGCAGAAGAATGCATCTGGTTTTCCACCCCGTACTCAATATACAGTTAAGAAAATTGGGTCCTTCAGACAGTCTAACTGAAGTTCAAGTCAAAGATCAAGGAGTCCTGGCTTTGTCTGTTCTCACCTGTGAGAGGGTTTAGAGCTACTCCTTTGTCTCTTCCTACTGGACAAAGATGCTGCTCAGAACCTGCTACATAACTTGCAACACTGAATGCAGAAAGAAAACGCTGGGCTCTTGGTCCAAACAGGAGACCTGGTGGTGAAAAGGTGAAGCGCTCCGCTGCTGAATGAAATGTCAGGTGTTCAAATCCACCAACCCTAAGGATTACAGCCTCACAAACCCTATTGGGCCGTTCTGGTAGCCTATTAGGTAACGAGTTGCACTGACAACCCGAAAGCAGGCGGTTTGAATCCACCAGCTGCTCTGCAAAGGAGAAAGAGGATCAATCTCCTCCCATGCCATTTACAGCCTCTGACAATCCGCTAGGTGATCAACTACGAGTCAGCTCTGACTTGAAGGCATGTAACACCAGCACAACTACGCTGTCAATAGGGTCAACCTAACTTGAAATCGACCAGAAGGCAATGGGTTTGTTTGTTTACTTGGTTAGGTTTTGGGTCAATCATTAAGGCAGGGAGATCCGAGCTTTAAAGCAGGCGCTGCAGCCCAGACACTGGTGGAATAGGGAACTCCAGGATTCTGCAGGTGACCTGTAGATTCAAAGCACGACTTCTTGGGCGGCGGGGGGGGTCTACACGTCTACACAGGCATTATTCTGACAACTTGTGGAGGAGGAGGATTTGACCTAGAAAAACTTCCCAGGCCCATGGTTCACCAGAATTCCAATCTTACGAGGGGAAGGAATACCCAACCGAGAAGGACCGCTGAACTAGGGGAAACGCAGTAACAGTGAAAGCCTCACGCGGCAGGCTTCCCCGACGCGGAGGCGGCTTCTCCGCATCTGCATGGGAAGCGCCCGCTGGTGCGCGCGTCCCCCGGCGTCACGGGACTCGGCGCTGCGGAGCGAGCGCTGACCCGGGCATTCCCACGCACGACCCCGCCGAGGAGGGCTGGACTGGAGGGGAGGGCGGGAACCAGCCACACAGAGAGCATCCCTCCAGTCGGCTTGCGACTGGGGGAGGTGGTGGCTTCCCTCCGGGGACTCCATCCTTAGGTTGCTTCAACCTCTCCTGGGGTTCTGGGGGAGGGGATGTTGAGGGAAGGGATGGACGGAAGAGAGAGACCCTCAGGCAAAACCTCTTCTGAGTTGTACTGTTAGGAGCCTGTCGGATGGGAAGACCCTGAGAGGGTCAGTTCACAGCCTCAGAAGTTCAGTTCACTTTCTCAAGGTGCCCCTAAAGCTACGCCCGTTGCCTCTCCCTCACCCTCCCACCCCCCTCCCCACCCCACTGCCTTCCCTAAATCACGCCTCCACCAACCCTCCCCTGGAGTCGGCCGGTGCTTCCCAGGGGCCGTGCTTCCTGCCTCTCCGAAATCTCCCCGCCTCCACCCCGCCCTGCTGGCTGCGGTCCCTTTAAAGGCGCGCGCGCCTGGGGCCGCCCCTTCTCTCGGGGCTGACTCGGGAGTACGGTCGCTACCGGAGCAGCCGCCGCCGCCACCGCCACCACTAGCAGGGTATGGCCATGGCATCCCCGGCCATCGGGCAGCGCCCATACCCTTTACTCTTGGACCCCGAGCCGCCACGCTACCTACAGAGCCTGGGCAGCCCGGAGCCTCCGCCGCATCCCGGCCGATCGTCGCGCCGCTGCGCCCCCGCGTCCCTCTCCACTGCGCCCGGGGCGCACGAGGGGCGCGGCGCCCGGAGGGCAGCCAGGGGAGACCTGGAGCCCCAAGCCCGGGCTTCCCGACCCCCTCGCTCTCTCCGGCCTGGTCTGCAGCAGAGACTGCGGCGGCGGCCTGGGGCGCCGCGACCCCGCGACGTGCGGAGCATCTTCGAGCAGCCACAGGATCCCCGCGTCCCGGCGGAGAGAGGCGAGGGGCACCGCTTCGCCGAATTGGAGCTGCGGGGCGGCCCCGGCTGGTGTGACCTGTGCGGACGCGAGGTGTTGCGGCAGGCTCTGCGCTGCGCCAGTGAGTGAGAGGGCAGGGCCGGGAGGGGCGCGGGAAGACCGCAGTCCAGGCTCGAGGGGCTGGAGCAGAGAGATCTTGCCACGACTCCAGAGGAGACTACGGCTTAAACTAACACACGTCACCCCTGGAAGATCTCTGCTGTCAGACCCCTGACCAAGATCCTCAGCGACTGCCCACTGGGCTTTTCTGTGGTGGTTTACCCACACCCCTCCCCTGACAGGTGCACGTCTCTCCCACCTGCAGGTTAGGGTCTGTGGCTGTAAAGGTCAGCCTATAACATGCCCCCCTCTTATTTTTGTTGTAAATTCTCATTCTATGATCCCTGGAGGTTGTGAGACTATGACTTAAAACATTTGACCCTTTTAAAATAAGGTCAATGGGGAAACGGCTTGTTTGTAGGCCCAGAACCCTCCTCTAAAAAGGACTATTGGGACAGGTAGGTAGTCTGTGCAGTTTGGGGTTTGCATACACATGACCTATGGTCTGGTGAGAGCCTTAAGTCACCCTGGACCTGTGCCCCCACCTACCGTCCACCTCTGGCCCTTCAAACCTTTAGACTTTCCTCCCTGTTTGGCTGTGCCCCGCCTCCCCTCTCCCTCCTCTTCAGATCTTGCTCTAAAATTACCCAACTCCTTGCATAGCCCCTTCCTCCCAGTGTTCAGGCCACTCCAGTCTTCTTCTGAGCCGGACACTCAGGAGTTTAGATTTTAGGGAGCTAACCTACAGTCTTACGTCCCTTTATTATTTTTTCTCCTACTGTGGTCAGAATCTATTCTGTGACACAAGACCAAAACAGGGTAGGGTGCCTTTAATGAGTGTCATTTTCCCAGATCTCATGCCTGTTGACATGTTTACCAGAAAAATATGATCTCCATAGCTATATATTTATCTGTTTAAATATGTATTTTAAATACGTGAAGGGCAGACAGTAAGCACAGCTTTCCAATAAGCATTTCTTGAAATGGATTATGGTTTGCATCTTTCTGCCATGGCCCTTCCCCCACAGCACCAGCCCCATGTCTCCTATCCAGCTGCAGCCCTAGGCAGCAGCAGCAGCTTCTTCCACCACAGGAAAACCCTTTCCAGATTGTGGCCAAGGAGAGCCAGGGTCAAGGGGGAGGTGGGAGATTGGAGGGGGAAGTGGATGCCACTCCTTCCACCACCAGAACCCATGGATCAAGTGCTAATTGAGAAGGACAGAAGTAGATAAAGTGTTGAGGGTGAAGGGCTGCTGTCATCTGGCTGGTTCTAGAATCCAATGTTATTTATCCCTGCGTGTGTTAGCAGCTTTCATTCTCTTTAGGGCTCAGGGGTTCTTAACTATGTTCACTAAACCTCTAACCAGGGAGAGACCCAGTACTCCTGCTGTAGCGCTTGTAGGGTGCTGCAGTCCCAGGAACTCTGCCTCCCTGGAATTCTAGTTTGTGTGAAGTCTTTTGCGAGCTGTATCAGTTGATCGTTTTGTCTTTGTGGCACATAAGTATCTATGTGAGTTTGCATGTCCATATGCATGGTACTCCGTGATTATGTGGTCCTCAGAACCATCTGAGAGCTAAGACTTGTCGGTCTAGTTCTGAAAGGTCACAGCCTTGACAATCCAATGGAGCATAGTTCTCTCTTCTTAGATACATGTAAGTCAGAATCTGCTTGATGGCAACTGGAATGGCCACTTCACGTTGTTATTGTGGCTGTATTAGGTGCTGTGGCGTCATGTATGACTTGTAATGACCCTCTGAACATCAGATAGAAACGCTGCCCTGTCCTCACCATCTCCATGCTCAAGTCCTTTGTTGAGTGCCTTCCAGTCTAGGGGCTCCCCTTCTGACACTACATGGAACAGTGTTCCGCTGCTATTCATAAGCATGCCGACATCCTGCTGTTTCCAAAGTTGACGGCCAGTCCAGCTTCTCAGTCTACCATTCTATGTCAGGATTGTCTGAGTAGTTCATCATTTTCTTGGCCATCAGACCCTGGTACGCAGACAGTAGTTTTTGGGTTTTTTCCCCCTCTTTATTTTTTGAAATAATTTTAATGAGCATTTACAGAGATTTTGGATTTCCATTCATTCATTGGCAGACAGTAATTTTGACTGTGTGACTTGGCAGAGTCCCTTGACTTTCCTGGGCTTCCATATCCCCCCATATAATTAGCTTAATATCCCACTCCTTGCTCTCAGGATGTTTGGACACTGGTAGAGCTGCAGTCAGGGGCTGCAGGCACGTCCGTCTTTGCCATTATTAATATATAACTAATTGTGAACCTGTGGCTACATGGGAACAGTTGGGAAATGTTCTGGTGTGCATGTGAAGGCTGGCAGGGTGAACTCAACGGCTTTCTGTAAGCCAAAGATCTAGCTCCAGGGTGAGGTCAGTTGGTTTGGAAAATGGAGGGTCATACTATGACTTTTAAAAAGGCAACTCCCTATGCAGGGAGCTCTGGTGGCCTAGTGGTAAGGAGCTGAACTGCCAATCTGAAGGCACACGGTTTGAATCCACCAGCTGCTCTGTGGGAAAAAGGCAGTCTCCTCCCATGCAATTACTGCATATGAAAAACCTGCAGGAGGGTCAGCTGTGGGTCAGCTCCCACTCCACGGTCTCTAACAGTCACCACAGGGCCTGGATCTGAGCTTTGGCTCTGTCACATATCACTGTGTGACTGGATAGTTCTATATCTCTGTTTCTTTACTCAAAAAAAAAAAAAAAGAGAAGAGTATACGACCTGCTTCCTCAGCTTTAATGTGAGGCTCATACAATTAAATTCAGGTGAAGCACTTAGGACCTTGTCTGGGAAATGCCATATGAATCTTTAATGCTGTTATTATTCTGAATCTTCTCCTGTCCAACAGTCTTGTAAGTCTCGTCTGGGCTTGTAACAACTCCTAGTATGACCTTGCCCAGCAGTGAGACAATTTTCAAACTCTGCCTGGGTCCTGGCCTGGGGTGGGGTGCAGGGTGGTGTGAGCGCCCTGAGCATCTTTGAAAGTGAGGGTATGAAGGGTCATCTGGCCCAGTGTCCTCAGAGGAAGGTGCTGTGACTGAGAAGCAACCTGACAGGATGCCAGTGACTAGGCCACTTTTATGACTTCAGGGTCACCAAGCCATCAGCTCTTTGCCTTTGTGTCACTGGTGCCCAGTGAAGTTCCAGGCACAGAGTCTCATGCAATGGTGATCAATGAAAATGTTGGCTTATTTGTGCTGCTAAAGCTCCAGGCTCTTTGGAAGCAGACAGAAGGGCAGTGTGTATGTGAGTGACATCTGTCTGAACAGGATGCAGACAGGGAATGGAAGCCATGTTGGCAAAATGAGCTTTTAATAAGGAAGGCTTGCAGAAAACTGTCCTCCTCCTGCCTGCCTGCCTTTTTAGTGCAAGCTCAGCTAACATATGTTTACCTCTTCCTCAAGATCCTTAACTGTGGGCTGATTAATACTGCATTTGCCAGTAGAATTCAGAGTTAATAGTCATTTCTGGAGCTGAAGAAGTCATATTTGAAAAATAGAGGAATAAATCCAGTGGGAATTGGTAGACAGAAAGAGGAAGAAAGATTGAGATTATGTAATTGTGTCCATGTGTTTTGGGGTGCTGGCAATGAGTAAGTGCTTGGCCACTAACCTCAGGGTTAGCAGTTCAAACTCACTAGCAACTCTGGTTTGAAGGTGAAGCAATCTGCTTCTGTAAAGATTGTTGTTGTGTGCTGTTGAGTCAGAACTTATGCATAGCTGACCCTCCAGCGAGTTTTCAGAGGAAATTAATCACATAGAGATTGCCCATCTTTTTCCTGTAGAAGTAGCTGGTGGATTTGAACCACGTGCATTTGGGATTACAGCACAGTTTCTTACCACTAGGCCACCAGCGCTCCCTGTAAAGATTAGAGACCAGGAAACCCTGTGGGGCAGTTTTATTCTGTCTGGTCGTCAGAATTGACTCGATGGTGATGGGCCTGGTTTTTATTCTGTTTTTGGTGGTGAGAATGCGTTTCCAGCACTACAGGAAGGAAGGAATGGTAAACAGCAAATAACTACAGAAACTCCTAAGCTGACCTTTGGCTTTGTCCTTGCGACGCCCCTCTTAGCACGGACCTTTTCTTCCTATAGAAGGCACGGAGAGCCGACCTTCCACCCATCTCATTTTGGTGGTTACATCAGACAGCTATCCCGGAATGTAAATCCACCCTTACTAATGCCTTGTTGTTCATTGCTGGCAAATAACTCCTGGTGACCTTCTGTGCAGTAGAATGGAATGTTGCCCAGGTCTGTGCCATCTTCACAGTGCTGGAGCCATTGTGTGTCTTGAATGCCTTCCAACCTAAGAGGCTCATGTCCAGCACTGTGTCGGGCAATATTCTCATGGAATCCTGGACTAGTTCTTGGAAGTAGATTGTCAGGCTCTTCTTCCCTGTCTTTGCTGGAAACTCCACTGAAAACCTGCCCCCGTGGGTGAGCCGGGTGGTGCAGTGAGTCCTTCAACAGCCAGCACTTATGTAAGGAGAAACCTGTCAGAGAAGGAAAATACACAGTCTCTATGAAAATGAGGGCTAGGAAAGTGCTAAGACTTCGCCTGCCAAAAGCGGAAAGCTTGCGAGACCCGGAAAAACAAAGCCCATCCTGTCACTTTCTAGCTGCCACAGGCTCATTATATTTGAAATATTGGTGGCATCACTTCAAATCTCATAGCGACACGCGCACCACAGTAGGACCCATTCACAGATGGCGGCAGTTCTAACAGTCTTCAGGCCAGCGAATGGTCTGTCGAGTAGGAAGACCTGAGGCCAAGGCAGTGTTCATGGAGGGACGAACTAGTCAGGTCCCTTGTCTGCTCCTGGGATCCATGTCTCTGCACGGATAGTTGCTTGGAGCTACAAGGTGCTAAGTGATTGGAATTACAGAGTTAGAGGGGGTTTCTAGGGTACCTGCTCCCCTGTGATGGGCTGTGATTGTGGTCTGAGTCCTCCTGTTTGGGTCACAGGGTAGAGACACAGGGCCTGGCCTGGCCTGGTGAGCAGG